GCCTGCAATGATTGTACCTACGGATGGTCCTTCGAAGATACAGGGTGATCCAGCAGAATAGACCTGAATAGACCGTGACCCGTCCTTCAGGAGGCATGATATTTTACGGATTTTGGTAATCGATATGTTAAAAGAAAAAAGAATCGAGGCGGACTCTGGTTGCCTCGTCGTCTGTACAAAAGAGAGACCCTGGATAAGAAATCCATTAAAAACACTCCTCGAAAATTTTGAAGGATGAGTTGAAAATTGTGTTCTAGGAAAACTTCTTTTCTTGATATTTTGTAAAGTAAAATCTGTGCCCGATAATATTTAGGTGAAAAGTTTTTTTGTAAACAAAACAATTTTTTAGATTTTTCCCCCCTTTTTGCCAAACATTTCAAGTGTTACAAAGCTCTCGTAGGTTTTTTGAGACTTTTTCAAGATATTTCTTTAATACCTAAATTTTACATCTTGTAATTTTTTTTTGTAATAAACTCCAAAATACGGGTTTCCTGAAACATCAATTTTGACTTTCTTTATTTTTTCACAAAAATTCCATCATTTGACCATTACTTGTATTCATCAACGTTTATTCTTGGGAATATTTATTTGATTTTCGCGCGAGGAAGGAGAATTTGAGGGGAGGTCAAACGGAGTGTAGGTTGCCGAATGTGGAGTATAGAATCGAGAATCGATGTCTCGCTAAAGCTTGAAACTCCTTTTTTCCTACGATTAATTATCGAGGTTTATTCAGCAAATTGCTCACTTAAGCAAGGCGGTGTGAGAAGATCGTGAAACGAACGACTCTTTGATTATCAGGAGAAGGGGGTGGCGGGCAGGGGGAGGTGGTAAGGAGGTGATGTTCCCCCATCCCTCAACTCCCGATGCAGAACTTAGCGAAACCTTCGCTTAAGATTAAGTAGCTGGGCACCCTTATTCAGTGCGCCTCTGGAGCGGGGTTTCCTTGGGCCCAATTATAAATGGCTTTTAAACTTGGACCACTCAATTAATGGCCAATTCCGTTTTCTTCCTACCTTTGTCTGTTAATTGCTTTAATTTGTCTGCATGTCCCGGTTCGAGTTGCTACAGTTCTCACCAGAATCCCCCAGAGTTGGGGATGCTCTTTCATTCCCTTCCACGTTCAACTTGGCTGACTGAAATTCTTCGCTCAAACGGAATGAGCAGATGGAACATTAAGCATATTGAATTCCCGTTGATGCTAATTCCGGTATTATTTTTCAAAAATTCATCGTTTTAGCTAATGTATTGCAGCTAAGTACCCATTTGGGCAAAATCTGACTTTCCTTGAAAGTTTCCGCGCCAAGAGGTGATGTAAGTAGCCTTCGAGTCGGCGATTTCAAGCCCCTAACGGGAGGCATCCTTGTCGGAGATCAAAATCAATTCAAGCCCCTTCAAATTTCCCATAGGCATTACCGCATTGCACATAAGTTAAAACAATGTTATCACTCAAATTTGCAGGAAATGCGCGTTACTGACGTTTATGTAGGAACACGATTCGAATAGAGAGTACTGTTTCAAGAAAAACAATGGGGTGGGGGAGTACGGTGGAATGACAAACTTGAAGCTAGAACTTTAGCTAGTAATTCGTGATTTCTTATTTTGAAATTTCTTTAAATCATCGGGAATGATTTAGAATGGTCAAAAGTCTGTTATATTTATATATTCAGTTAGAAAACTATTAAGAACTCTTTTTTTAAATAAATAAAGATATACTACGATTGCTTGCATAATTTTTTAAGTCTCTCAGATCCGTTCGCATGTTTTACTGGACTTATTTTTATAACTCTCCAGACAAAAAATGTTCAAATATGTTGCGATGCATGCATTATTCTTGAAGTGACGGTGAAATGGCTTTGCCGCAATAATCGTCGTTACTAAAGCAAAGGCGGTTTGGGCGAAGCCCACATCTTAAGACGGCAATGTTGTTATGACTTTAAGCATTCAAAGCATCATTCGTAAAATTGACATTGTCGCGTTGAAAATCTGTAAAAGTTTACTTCAGCGTCACAAGAGGCAACTTAGGAATAAAGTTGCAGTGTGCGAGAAACAAGCAAAGCGCCCTTCGATAGTTTCGAATGCGACGAACACTACACAAATTTTATTTTAACTCCTGGATGCAACTATTCGAGCTCGGTGGATGTCCGTGTTGCATACACACGGAGTTGAAGGCGTTTCGACCGTCCAGGCACTCATCGCGCGCGACGCGGCTGCGCATGATTTGTAGAGCAACTATTTATGTCAAAGAGGTAGAGAATTTGCATGCAAATTTTTTTTTGCTTCATCTGAAAGTGCTTGAAGAGCTGATTTCACGCAATATTTGTTATAATTTTTTTCTGATATGGGAAACAGTAGGTATAAAAATAGATTTAAAAGTGAGAAAATGCACCGCCCAGTGACGTCATCTGGCAGCATTCCCCATTATAACACATGTATCTTAGCAGATTAGATCATTTTGTCATATCTCCTCCAATAATTGTTCAATTCATGAATCAAGTGTATCCTCGTGCTCAGTTAACTCAGTAGTTTCCACTTACACACAAAATTAATCAAATTTCTGCAAATTCTCTATTGAAGGAACACCGCCATTTTAGATCCTCGCAGGAAAGCATTGTACATAGCGCACAAGGAAACAAACGAAATTAAGTTTAGACAGGTTGGACATAAGTTTTTCGACTAATATTGCAAAATTTGATAGTAATTTCTTCACAATGTACGTTGTGTGCTTCTGTATAAAAATTCTACGAGAAAATCATTGAAACCACTTTTATAACCTCTAAATTTGATATTCACATCAATATGCGATTCCACAGTTCGTATGACTATTCTTAGTAGCGTGCTTCACCAAGCGACGCTGGTGAGGTGGACACTTACACAGTGTCTGAAGACAAAACGCCTTCATTTTCGTGCATATACAACACGGACATCCATGAAGCCCGAATAGTTGCATCCAAGCGTTACAATGAAATTCTTTTCGTGTTCGTTGCATGCGAAACTAACTAAAGCTTTGTTTTCCTTACATCTTAGCTTAGTTCCAGCTATTTAACGTATTGTGCAAATGAAGTAAACCTCTGCTGATTTTTATCGCGACATTGTAAATTTTCCCAGAAATGCATTATTTAAATGTTGCCAATCCCCCACCATCGAAATCGCAAAAAATTACCTATTTAAGCACGACAAGTAGAGTTCTTTTTCACCCACATATTTAATTCGTCCTTTTTGGATTCTAATTTTTGTCGTTAAGAGGGAAATTTTCCAAGAATAATCCTGATGAATCGCACGGCATTTGAAATAAAAATGATGATCATTCGTCTTTTGAAAAAATTAGATGCGACTGGAAATTTTAATATCACAAGCCTAAAATAAACACGAGTACATCATTTTCTAGGTGCAATGGCAAAACTGCAGCACAATTAAGCCTGGTAAATTTTTTAGTGACAATTGTATTAGTGTATACTCTTTTCTTCCTGAAATGTGGGCTGAGTAAAAAAAAATTAAGAAGGAATGGAAATTTTGATACACCTTAATCGAGATCCCTAATTCCTTCTTTCGCCCCAGTTATTCATAATTAATTGTGGATGTGCAATAATTGAGTAAAAATTGAAAGAAACTTGACAACGCCTGGCTAAGCAGGGGGCGCGCCGCCACATAGTGCCTCATCTGGGTCCATTGGATATCGATATTGGTTAGTGCGGCCGGTACTCGGGTGATAGCGACACGTGTCTTCGATTGTCATTTAATGATGATTGAACTGCTTATTGTTTATATTGTTTGGGCTTCCTCATTTCTCGTTTCTCTCTCTCCCTCTTGCGCAACCNCCCCCCCCCCCATCTCTCTCCGAACTAGACTCCTTACCCTGATTCATTAACCACCCCTTGCTCTCCACCCTTCCAAAAGCGGCATCAGGACTCATTGCCGTGGATTTATTGTTATACGTAGTACTGGTTATACTCTCCAATCTTTGAATCTGAGGTTTAAAATTTCCGCTATTTCTAAGAATGATGAGAATTTTTTTTTCTTTTTGCACACAATTAAACGTACAAAATAAACTTTTAGAAATATAATATGTATATGAAGAGCTTAATTGAACTGTAAAAGTAAACACTTAATTAATTATACAAATTTTGAGAAAATCAAATGAACTGCATGCCCTTCGGGATACTGTAAAAAAAGGGGGAAAAAAGAAAAACAAGGGAAATGGAGGAAAGGGCGTTTGTAGGAAAAAATCATCTGTAAAAAACCATGATAATAGAGTTGGTATATATGCCAAGCCTTTAAATGAACGTGCACCTCAAAACTTGCAGTGTTTTGTAAAATGGAGTCTTTGAAAATTCTCACATAGAAAATGTAAGTGGGGAATTTTGGGAGGTGACTTAATTTGAAGATTCAAAACACTAAAAAATTGAGAAACCTGTTAAAATCACGCTAAAATATAGGAATATACTTCCAAATTTTAACTATCTGTCCACTTGTTTCACAAAATGTCTGATGAGACTAATTGCTTGCATAGAAACTTATAGTGTGCTGCATGGCAAGAGTCTCTGAGAAACCAGCAGGAATGAGGCCGCAATATTCTGCCGTGCTAAGGAAGAACGCCGTATGAACATTCAAGAGTTGCCAAATTTCCTTCGATAAAATGTTTATTTTTGAAGAAAGCTGCGGATGTTTTTCCTTGAAATATTCAGGAACTTTAGGAGAAATTGGGAACAATATCATCCGAAAAATTTGAGGAAAAATATTCATAATTTTACCAGGAAATTTGTGTTTTATCAATCGAAATTTGGCAACGCCTGAAGGTTCATACGGCGTTTTTCCTTAGCACGGCAGTATTGGTCTTGCAAGTGCACGGAGTGCAAAATTTCAAGGCTTAGGAACCACAAAAAACTACAGTCCGAGTTATCTTATCGGAAGTCTCTCACGAGCCATGTAAAAAGAGGAAAAACAAAGAAATGAATTAACATGCCGGAAAACGGGAGCGCTTAACAATGAGTGTGGTTCAGTAATTATGTTGGCCAGAGCTAAGAAGGCGAGATTCGCTGTTCCCTCAAAATCGCTGCTCATCCATTCGCATCGACTAAACCATCGGTAAGTAAACTTTTCACTAACCACTAAAATAGGGTTGAGTGTCCTGATCTGACATTCGCCCCTCACCGATAAATAGGCGTTGTAAGCTCAACTGGAATAAATTTTGCATGATAAAGATCTACCGCAATGGAAGAAAAAGTAGCGACATTCTGTGTTCAATGAACACTGTTCATATGGGCGCAGCTAGAAGTACACGAAGGAACCAGAACGTCCGGTTAATATTTTCAGTTAGTTTTTCTGAAGGTCACAATTCACATTGACTAGATCCGTGGGTATCATTAACCAAGCCTTTGGGTTAAAAGTTTGCAACCTCGTCAAAAATTAGGCGTAACTCGCCGGGATCGATCCGTGATGGTGGCTTGATCGCATTGGTCTATCGATCTAATGCGCTACATTGCCGTGCTAAGGAAGAACGCCGTATGAACATTTGAGAGTTGCCAAATTTCCTTTAATAAAATGCTTATTTTTAAGAAAACTTATGAATATTTTTCCTTGGAATTTTCAGGAACTTTAGATCAAAATACGAACAAAATGCTCTGAAGAATTGGAAGAAAAATATTCATAAGTTTACCAGGGAATCCGTGTTTTATCAAAGAAGATTGTGCAACGCCTGAAGGTTCATACGGCGTTTTTCCTTAGCACGGCCCACTCGCAAGTTGCAACCTCAGAGTGACAAGAGAACATGTCAGAATGCATTCAGTAGGAGATCTACCTTAGTCACAAAAATCTACCATACCTGGAAATGTTAAGGTTATCTATGCCTCAAGATTTGCGGTCCGATAGAGAGCAGGGGAGGTTAGGAGTCGTAGAGCGCGATGGAGTGCTGTAAAGCGACTTATATGTTTATGTCGGTATCCTCGTGTTCAGTTCACTCAGCAGTTTCCACTTAAACACGAAATTCATCAAATTTCAGACTCTTGCAAATTCTCTATTCAATTTCTAATCGTTCATGCGCTTTTTTCGTTTCAAGCCACTTGAGTGGAGCTTTTATTCCTTCATTTCAGGGTCATCCACGCACCGTAACGGATTAGCTTGCGTCATGGAGGTCTTCAACTTACGTCTGTTCGTCTCGATAAGTGTGGCTTGTCTAATACTAGCGGCGGATGGGGCCGAGCGAGGAGGGAACGGGCGCCCATGTACAGGGATCTGTTACGGCTATTGCGAGCCCAGAACCAGCTCCCGGTCCGCACACTATTTTCCACGACCAGCATCCCGACCAGCCCCACCCCCCAGGCGGCCGAGGGGCGAGTGCCAGTGCAAGCGCGACAACGATGGCCACATCCCTGAAACTTGCGAATGCACCGACGAGCAAAAGGCTAAGGTCAACTGCGAGAATTATCCCGACAAGTGCTACTGTAATAATGTTAAGCTTATTTGTGAACCATGGGTGTAGCCATGACGAGATGAAGTATTGGACGTATTTCTGTCAAACGGAGCTATGTGTATTAAAACATGAGCCCTGAGACTCATAAGCATATACTCGTAAGAGGGCTCACGTCATAATGCACATAGTTCTGTCAGGCAGAGATACGTCTAATTGTGAATGGGCCAGGCAAAATATGTGGCTTGGTACATCGGCGATGAAGGTGCTTTTCGGTTGAAATGTTTGGGGATGTCTGAGAGCTGGCGTCTGAAAGCGTACCGATTTATAGTCCTTGCTCATTTTTGCAATGAACTCATAAATTCCATGATAGTTTGAACTAAAAATGAAAGACATGTTTTCATGAATTGTTGTGGCGCTATTAGATAATAACTTGTAGACGAATACAGAGAATGATCGAAAATTTTACTTGTACTAAGTTTTTATTTTAAATACCTATAATCGACCTCTCAGTCTTCTCTGGTGTCACGCATTTCTACCTTGGTAGCAATGACCTTTTAAAACATTTTTCAAAAACTGTTAAAATGTTCGTATCAGGAAACTCTTTTCCGCTATTTTTTAAAGTATCTAAGTAAAATTTGAGGAAATAAATGTTAAAAACTCTTAAAAATATATTTGAAGTTTTTTAAAATTTTTCCAAAAAATTTTAGGGTCGAAAAACTACAGTTAATACTTGAAGAATTTTTTCGAACCCTTTTTTACTTTTTACTGCTCGGAAATTGAACTTTAAAGAATAGCCAAAAAGGGTTTCCTAATACGAACATTTTAATAGTTTTTTTTTTTAAGATTCGTCTTTTTGAAATTTGATAATTTTTTAAAAGTTTTTTTTTTTTTTTTTTTTTTTTTTTTTAAACAGTCGTTGCTACTAGGGTAGTATCATTTTTGTCAAATTGATGAATGTCACAAAACAAAAATTTTGCTTTTTCTAAAATTTCATGAAATTGCTTCAGAAATTTAGGATCAATGGTTCTTAAATCACCTTGTCCCCGTTCCTTGTCGTTGAATGGTCTTACGAATCATCGGGGGAAAAAACTTATTATCAACGTCCCAAGTCTAGGTATTGTAACTTGCGATTTTTGTTCATACTGCTCGACTATATTCGAACCAACCACAAGTTATGCAGCCCTCTGCAACTTAATTTCAGGTCGTCGAGGTTTTCTGTTTCAGAACAGGCCTTCGTTGTGGGCAAGTTGCCTTTTGATAATAGAATCGTTCTTGAATTTTCCCAACCCCACGAGGCACCGGTGACGCTAATGAGCGATTAACAAAGCACCGGAGGTGTGGTCAGCTTCGCACCATTCACGCTCACAGCTCACCGCCGCGCATCCATCTTCCATCAGCCAACGAATGCTCACGCCCCTTTGATCTCGCAACTTGTTTTCAACACCCCTCTTTCTTTATTCTTCTCTGCTCCGTATCGGCTAAGATCTGAAAATCTTATTAATTCAATTTTTTTTTTTAAAATTTCATCGCTAATTTCTACCGCAGTTTCCGCTCATTCCCCTTCATTCTCAGCATTGTGCGTCTGTTTCGTGGTTTCCTCAAGCCGTGAGATTTATTTTTTTCAAGCAATACTTACATGCCGTTGTATCATTTAGCTAACAGCTAACTGCTAAATTAATTCAAACAATCAGCAGCTGATTAATACTCTTTGAAATAATGCTCACCAAAAATGTACCTTTTTTGAATGCATTGATCTCTTGGAGGAAAAAAGGTAGAAAAGATAAAAAAGATACAATTTCAGGCTTTGGAAAAAATCCTCTCATTTATTTTGACGGTTACCGTACGAAGGAACGTAACTTCATCCCTAGGTTACAACAAAATTGACTCAAACAATTAAATTTTTTCGAGAATATAACTGTGCAATTTTTGTCTAAAACTTGTCTGATTTTTGCACGAGCTTGTGAGAAAAATTAGTGACATTTCCAGTTATACATATTCAAGTTTCTGCAGGTAAAAATGTTTGCGAGGATAACATTGGCAACGTTGAAATGCTGTTTACTTCGTCCAAGAGACGATGGATTGTGTGCTTGTTTTTGAGTGCTTAAACCTATTTTTAGTTAAAAAAAAATACTGAAAATGTAGTTTTAAGGTGTCTGGGTCTGGGGGTAACACCTGAAATTGTGGCTTGACGCGTTAGCCCTGCACAATCGTGCTAAGGAAGAACGCCGTATGAACCTTCAGGCATTGCACAAATTGCCTTTGGTAAAAAACGAATTTCTTGGTAAAATTATGAATATTTTCCTTCCAATTATTCAGATAATTTGGTTCGTAATGTAACCTAAAGTTCCTGAAAATTTCAAGGAATAATATTCATTTCTTTCTTCAAAAATGAAAATTTTATTGAAGGAAATTTGGCAACCCTCGAATGTTTATACGGCGTTCTTCCTTAGCACGGCAGTGCACCACACAAGTTTTCGTTACTTTATCCGTAATCCGGTCATAGTTTTAGAGTTTTTATTATTCGACTAAACATGTCAATTTGAATAATGAGTTGGTCATAGTAGGAAGAAGAAAAAAAAAACATGTCGACACGTTAAATATATAAAAACACTCTTTCAGATCGCAGCGTATCATTCAGCTACTTGAGTCACCTGCCCCTGTGACAGTTCCCGAGAGGTTTCACGGTTTCAGCGATCCTAGCCCATAGTCCGCTTGCAAGGGAGGAGGGGGATTACGGAATGGAGGGATGTTCGGACGGCCGGTTGGGCGAGCTGCGGTTGCAAATTCTAAGTGATTAAGCCGACGCGGTGTCAATTAATTTCGGGGATCGCTCCATGATCCACTCGTGCAAAACTGGGCGTTAATTAGCCGTCATTCAATTAGCAGCTCCGGGCTTTGATCCTTGCCGATCCGTCGCTCATTAGGAGTCATTAGTCATTCCTACCATTTCCTATTCCTAATCGCCTAAATCATTTGTCACCCTTTGCCACTCATCTTTACCGCAAACCGCGCAAAATTCAATTTTGATCTGAGGATACGGGGATTATTCGTGAAGTTTTTTTTCGATATTCTGCCAATCTAATTTATCTGAACTGAACACTGGAAAAAAAACACATCGGACCTAAAGTCCAGACTCTTAAAAACATCGACAAGAAAAAATACCCTTGATTCAATCGGATTTTGGCTTAAAGCAAGAACCAAGCCTCTTAATTTGAGCGGATTTCCTTTTGATTTAAGCTTAAATCTGATTGAATCAAGAGTCCTTTTTCTTGTCAATGTTTTCAAGAGTCTGGACTCTAGATCCAATGTGTTTTTTTTTTCCCAGAGTGAACTTAATAATTTAAACGAAAGAGTAAAATGCGCCCTACTTGCGGAATACGAGAGTATTGTTGATTAGCAGTAAGTTGCCAAAAACTGACGTCTTTCCGGAAACACAGCAGCAAGTCAAAATTTTCCCGCGAGTGAGCGCTGCATTTGGCGTTGTCTTGAGGAAAATGATATCACTCACGCAAAAAATTTCACATTCGGCTGTCTTGACTAACAAGAAATAAATCAGTTCTTATCATTTGGATCGCATTTAGTAAAAAGGAACCAGCGTGATTATAGTGTTTTCAAGCTCGTGCAAATTCTTTTTTTCTTTTAAAAATACTAAATATTAAAATTTACACCATTATTTCCTTTTGAATTTACTCATTTTTTTTGGTGGGATGTAAAAACTATTTGCTACTTTGGGAAATTGTTCTGGATACTTATGAAGAAGCAACATTTTAACAATCTTGTAATTGCGCTGGTTCCTTTTTTTTTAAATGCGATCCGTTTTATAGTCAAAGTAATCACAGATAGGCATGTGGATCAGTATTGAAATTTTCACGAAAAACGGAAAATCTAATTTATAAAATTTTTCTCTTAAACAGACCTAGGTCTTTCGTCCATTTCCTCAAAAAATGTTTTTTCTTCGCACTGCTCTCTTTGGTAACACCGCAGGTTCAGCTTCATTATAGACAGGAGCTCAACGGAGAAAAAAGAATCATCGTCCCTGCAGTCAACAGACCCCCGCCTCCTTTTTAAGTCGTAGTTATTGTATTACTTTTGTAGAATAAGTCTTTATCGGATCGTTAAAACTACCCTCTACCTCAAAATTATTATCGTTACTAGAGAAGTAGATAGGACCTGGAGTCTACAAGATATTTTGTGCGAGCAAAGATTCTTCTTTTTCTGTGTGATTCAGAAACGGCGATGAATACTGGATTTTGATGAGACGTTAAATTGTTTAAGGGCGACTCCGATTACGGCCCCACGAAGGCCTCGTCCCCGAGCCACTTCCTAAATGAGGTAACTCCCAGCATTGCAATAAAAAGGCCACATTCAAAATCAATCATATCTGCGAGGACCACAGCACAGTGCCTCTCCACTCAATCCCTATCTCGCCGTGGCGAGAGCAGCGATGAGACGCGGGTTGCCGCCACGCCAATTCACGGCGCTCGCCTCCTCGCGAGATGGCCGAACGCATCCTCCGCGGCAGCGACGATTGTGCTTTGTGATGAATCGATTGAACTCCCATTAAATCTACGGAAAATGATCGATTATCAAAGTATGCTTTAATACTCGATTCTTTATCACCAATTTAAATGAGAATATTTCGATAGCTGATGATTCACGACGCGGCATCGATGCGGTCCGTTCGGCAACCTCGATCATCCATCACTTACGTTCGCCTCCCCGACCCCACCCCCGGCCATCCCTCTGTTTGTTTTCTTTATGTTTCCTCCGAGTGGAAAAAATAATCTTCCCGCTTAATTACCGCGTCAAGATCCCAGCCCCGGTGGCAAGGGGTTGGATCCCTCGATATTTACCTTGCTTATCACTTAATTAAAACTTTCATTTAGCTCGCCTCCTTTTTCTGATACTTTTTTCCCGCCGCGCAGGGGGCCGCGATCGTGGTGTCTAGGACCTGGAGAACCTGAGAGGTACATCGGGAAAAATTAGGGAATTTTATCCTACTTTATTTTAATATTGATACCCAAGTAGTCGGAAGTACCTATGCGGTACAGGTCGAGTTGAGCAATACAAATAGGAAAATAGTGTACG